TTCCCCACATATATACATAGTCATTGTGCTTTTCTAAGAATATCTTGACTATGGTATATGCATTTCCCCCATGTGAACTTTAGAATTGGTTTGTCAAATTCCATAAAAAATGTCATTGGGTTTTTGATTGGGATTGTGTTGAATTTATAGATTCATTTAGGGAGACCTGACATGTTTACAATATTAAATTTCTTCATCCAAGTAAAGAGTTGTCTTGCCATTTATTTAGGTTTTCTTTTATGTGCTTAAGTAAAGTTTTATAGTTTTCTTTATATAGGTCTTGCACATTTCCTGTTAGATTTATTCTTACTTTGTTGTAAGGTAATCCTTCCCCCTCCCATAACATTCTCTAATTGGTGATTTGAAATGTAAATAAAAGAAATTCTTTATTATCTTAGAGCTGGCCACCCAACTGTACTTTCATGTTACTTCATCATTATTATTCTAATCCACTTGGAATATTTAGGTTGAGTAACTATATTTGTAAATAGTTATCCTCCTTTTCAATATTTGTACCTCTTATTTTACTTTTTAATTTCATAGCTTTAGTTCAACCTTTAGTACAATGTTGAATAGTTATAGCCATTTAGGATAATTACCATTGATTTGTGGTATATACCATTTAAGGAATACCATTCAGTTTAAGGAAGTTGCCCTATATTCTTCTTCTTTTTTTATGGGGTACAGTACCAGGGATTGAACTCAAGGACACTTCATCACTGAGCCACATCCCCAGCCCTATTTTGTATTTTTTTTTTTTAGAGATAGGGTCTCACTGAGTTGCTTAGCGCTTCACTTTTGCTAAGGCTGGCTTTGAACTCTCAATCCTCCTGCCTCAGCCTCCTGAGCCACTGGGTTTACAGGTCTGTACCACCATGCCACGTGCCCTATATTCTTTTGTGTGGGGATCGAACACAGGATGCTCTATCACTAAGTTATACCCCAGCCCTTTTTTATTTTTATTTTTAAAGAGAGAGAGAGAGAGAGAGAATTTTTTAATATTTATTTTTTAGTTTTCGGCGGACACAACATCTTTGTATGTGGTGCCGAGGATTGAACCCGGGACGCACACATGCCAGGCGAGCGTGCTACCGCTTGAGCCACATCCCCAGCCCCCTTTTTTATTTTTAGTAAAAATAAATGAATAAAAAATTAAGTTGCTAAGCCTGACTTTGAACTTGTGATTCTCCTGAGCTGCTGAGATTATGGGTGAGAGCCACATCACCTGGCCTTTTTTTTTTGTAATTTTGAGACAAGGTCTTGCTAAACAGGTATTACAGGCCTGCATCACTGCACCTAGCTTGTATAATAATATTCTTAACAAAAAAGTATTGAATCTGATTCTAATCATGAGGAAATAATGAGACTAAACCAGAATGTGGAACATTTTCCTGGTCTTGAGTCTTCAAAAATGTTACTGATTAAAAAGAATTGGCCAGACACTGTGGCACACACTTAAAATCCTAGCAACTCAGGAAACTGATGCTGGAGGATCACAAGTTCAAGACCAACCTCAGCAATTTAACAATACCCTGTCTCAAAATAAAAGGGGGTGGGGGAGATGTGGCTCAGTGGTAGAGCACGCCTGAATTCAATCCAAGTACCACTAAAAAAAAAAAAAAAAAAAAAAAATCAATACTTCAATACAACCTTAATCCTGGATAGGGTTGACATGAGAAAAAGATATAAAGGACATTTTAAGAATAATAGGGAAGCAGGCACAGTGGCATACGCCTATAATCCCAGCAACCCAGGATGCTGAGACAAGAGGATTGCAAGTTCAAAGCCAGCCTCAGCAAGTAAGTGAGGCCCTCAGCAACTTAGCCAGACCCTGTCTCAAAATAAAAAATAAAAGGACTGGCGGGGGCTGGGGCTGTAGCTCAGTTGGTGAATGCTTGCCTTGCATGAATGAGGCACTGGGTTCCATCATTAGCATCGTATAAAAATAAACATTAAAATAAAGGCCTGCTGTCCATCTACAACTACAAAAATATTTAAAAAAAAAAAAAAGACCTGGGGATGCAGTTTAGTGGGTTCAATCCCCAGTACCCCCCCCCCAAAAAAAAGAAAAGAATAATAGGGAAAATGTAAATTTAGATGATATTTGAATTTGTGTTAATTTTTTTTTAGTGATAATGATATTGTATTTATATAACAGAATATCCTTTATCTTAGCAGAGGCCTGCAAATATTTAGAGGTGAAATTCAATAATGGCTATACTTACTTTCAAATGGTTCAGAGGAAAACAATATGTTTACCTGGATGTGTGCCAGTTATTAAACTACTATTTCCAATCTCAAACTTCTGATTGAGTACTTCTGTACTCTATGACTGGGACTGAAATTTTCTGCTTTGCCAACTGATTCCATAAGAGATTGCTTCTGTAGGGCTCCAGAGAAAGAAGCCAAGACTGGGGGAATAAGGTACTTGGTTCATCTGTATGAATCCACATGTAAAAGGATGAAACTGGACCTTTATTTTACACTATGTCTACACACACACACATAAATTCAAATTGAATAAAGAAAATTTAAGTGCTAAAACAGTAAAACTCTTAAAAGAAAAAAAATCTTCATGATATTGGACTTGGCAATGATTCCTTGGATATGATACCAAAAACAAGCTACAAGAGAAAAAAATAAATTAGACTTCATCAAAATTTATTTTTTGTGCATCAAAGGATTATCAAGAGAGTAAAAAGACACACAAAATGGGAGAAAATACTTGCAGATCACTTATCTGATAAGGGATCCAAAATACATAAAAATACATAAATACATAAATACTCCTACAACTCAACAACAGAAAATCCAGTTAAAAAATAGGCAAGAACTTGAGTTAAACTTGGTACCTGAAGAAAAGAATGAATTATTGCAGCTTAGTTTTTAATTATACCAAAGAATAATTATAAAACATGAGTTTGTTATTATTTTGATCTAAAATTCAAAAAATATCTATGTTATGCAAAAACAGTTTTGCTATTCTTGCTGTTTACCACAACCATTTCATCGGAACTAGGATTTTCAGGTTTAACCTAACTTAAAACAAAAACAAATAAGAATAGATTCTATAGTGAGCTAGGTATGGTGGCTCCTGCCTGTAATTCCAGCAACTCTGGAGACTGAGGCAGGAAGATTGCATATTTGAGTCCAGCCTGGGCAATTTAGCAAGACACTGTCTCAAAATAAAAAATTAAAGGTACTGGGGTTGTGACTCAGTGGTAGAGTGCTCCTGGGTTCAATCCACAGTATCAAAAAAAGGATATGCTCTATGAAGATATACATGGGAATATTATCCCCATATGTTCTGAACTGGAGTAAATTTAGGACAGGCAATCAAACATACCTTTTTTTATTATTTTTTTTTTTTAGTTGTAGGTGAACACAATACCTTTATTTTGTTTATATGTGGTGCTGAGGATTGAACCCAGGGCCTCGTACGTGCTAGATGAGTATTCTACTGCTGAGCCACAACCCCAGCCCACAAGCATACCTTTTGAATTAACTAAAATCTTTCCTAATTTTTTTTGTGTTGTGATTTTGTCTATTATATTTAAATATTAATTCACATTTAATAGTAACAATTTTTAACTTATACACAGCAAAGACAATTTTTTAAAAATATACTATATACATACATAGAAGCAGCATACCAAATCACAGTGTAAAAGGAGGTTTTTTTGTTTGTTTGTTTTGTTTTGTTTTTGCAGTGCTGGGGATTAAACCCACAGCCTATTGCATGCTAGTCAAGTGCTCTACCATTGAGCTACACCTCTAGCCCATAGAAGGTATTTTTTATTATTGGTTCTTGAAAACAAAAATTTTAAAGCCATATATAAGCATTCTGTAGGGTTTTTTTATTTTTTATTTTTTTGTAGTTGTACATGGACAGAATGCCTTTATTTTATTTGTTTATTTTTATATACTGCTGCGGATTTAACCCACTGCCTCATGCATTCTTGGCAAGCGATCTGCCACTAAGTTACAGCCCCTGCCCCATTCTTCCAAGAATTGCTTAAGAGAATTTTTATTTTTCATATCATCTTTGTTTCTACTTTTGTTATTCATATTTTACTCTATGGCATTATAGTTAAAGAGCATAGTACAGGTTATTCTATACTGTTTCTCTTTATTGGAAAGAAGGATGTATTCTCTATTACTAATGTATGTGTGTATTTATGTGTTAAATCAACTTTATTAATTCTGTTATGTAGAGTACTTGTATACTTATTTTTTTGTTTCTGTTTTGTATTGGACACTGGGGATTGAACCCAAAGGCACTTTACCACTGAGCTACATCCCCAACACTTTTGTTTTTTCATTTTCTTTTTCTTTCTTTCTTTTTTTTTTTTTTTTAAGACAGAATCTTACTACGTTGCTTAAGATCTCACTAAGTCTAAGTTGCTGAGGCTGCCCTTGAACTCTCAATTTTCCTGCCTCAGCCTCCCGATTCCTGAGATTACAGGCATGTGCCACGGCACTCAGCTTGTATACTTACTTTTAAAACTTTTAGAGTTTGAAATAATATCAGACTTGCCAAAATCATACAAAGAATCGCTGTATAATAGCCTTTTTCCAGATGCCCCAGATATTAACAATTCATTACATGTACTTTATGATTCATATCCTGTCTCTCTCTCTGTCTCTCTTTCTCTCCTCGGCCATTAACAAATATTTTCAACACAGTTTAAGTGAAGAATACTCTTTGGTACAAAGAAGCCATGTGTTATGTTATTCTCCACATCCAATCTTCTTTATGATATATGATCCAAAGAATGGTTCATTAATCAATAAATATGAGATAAAGAATAAAACATTAGCATTATTTCAAGAAATCAGAAGAATACCATGAGATGTTTTCCTCCATAACATGTACAGACTTGTATGCTCCAGTGTTCTCAGGCACACATTCTTGTTTCAAGTGTTATGGTTTGGAACTTCCCTTGAAATAACAAATTTCTGTTGTCCCCCCCCCCCTTTCTCTCTCCTTCTTCACAAAGACCTGAGGATGAGATATTTTTAAAAAGACTTTCTAGAGACTACCTGGTGGAAAAGGACCCCAATGCTCCCCTTTTCTACAGAGAAAAAGGAAACAATAAATTCCAGGAGAAGGATTATACAGGAGCTGCAGTGCTGTACTCTAAGGTAAAATGCTCCCAGTCCAGCAATTCAACAGAGCATATTTCTGCAGAAGATAGAGCAGTATTACTAAATTTCTAGCCAGATATTTTTGTCTATAAATCGTACATTGGATTTGAAAAAAGTAAATTGACAGAATTCTGCTTTTGGTTGTATTCTGAAACAAAGGGTAGTTCATCTGTCCTGAATTTTTTTCTCTTTTTCCTTTTGTTTTGTGGTACTGGGCATGGAACCCAGGGCCTTGCACATGCTATGCAAGTTCTCTATCATTGAGCCACATCTATGGCCCTTTTATTTGTATTTGTATTTATTTATTAATTTTTTATATGAATTTTTTAGTTGTTGGTAGATCTTTATTTTACTCATTTATTTATATATGGTGCTGAGAATCAAACCTGGTGCCTCATACATGCCAGGCAAGTGCTCTACCACTGAGCCACAACTCCAGCTCCTTATTTATTAATATTTTTGAGACAGCATTTTGCTAAGTTGCCCAGCCTGGCCTTGAACTTGCAATCCTCCTGCCTCAGCCTCCCAAGTACCTGGGATTACTGGCATGCCTGCTCCGAATTTCACTAAGAAACTTCTGTTCCTTTATTTCTTCAGACATCTACTTAATATTCCTGACTTAGAGAACAACTAGATTTTAAGTAGCCACAGTGTCAGCTCAGAACCAAAATGACTTAGATTAAGTTTGAAAGGAAAATGAGCTGATTTGCTACAGCCCAGTTGAACTCCATTTTATCGTTTGCAAGTATTTTAAATTATATTAACCATCACTGAGTAGATTTATGAGGAATCATGGCTTGTAACAATCTTACCGTTATTGGCCTGCTTCCATGGTAGAAACTAGAATAAGATCCGGAGAGACTTTTTCAATAGTTTTGAAGAGATTTGTATGATCTTAAAGCAAGTACATATCAATCCCTTCCATCAGGTCTGTGATCTTATTTATTAAAAGAATGAGTATAAGCTGGGCATGGTGGCACACACCTGTAACCTCAGCTACTTGGGATGCTAAATTAGGAGAATCACAAGTTCCAGGCCAGCCTGGGCAACTTAGAGTACAAGGGACTGGAGGTGTAGTTCAGTGATAGAGGGCTTGCCTAGCATACGTGAGACCCTGGGTTTGATCCCCAGCACCCCCCACCCCAAAATGTGACTTGAAGGGTGTACCCTTATTCTGAATCTTTAACAGGCCTATACTCAAAGTTTGGAATTAATTTTCCCAAAACTGTCAAACCTATAACAACAGCATCTGCAACTGATAAAAACCCTGCTTTGTAGTGTTATAACAAAGTATTTAACTTTAGTGATTGCTGAGGGAGTAAAATCCATTAGAAATAATGATTTAATGATAAATGGCTTATAGGTTTTGTTTGTTTGCTTGTTTTTGGTTCCAGGGATTGAACCCAGGGGCTCTTAACCACTGAGCTACATCCCCAGTCCTGTTTTTGTATTTTATTTAGAGACAGGGTCTCACTGAGTTGCTAAGCACCTTGCTGTTGCTGAGGCTGGCTTTGAACTCATGATCATCTTGTCTCAGCCTCCCAAGCCTCTGGTATTACAGGCGTGTGCCACTGTGCAGGCTGGCTTAATAGTTATTTAAAACTAATAAAAGCCAGGCATGGTGGCGCACACCTGTAATCCCAGCGTCTTGGGAGACTGAGTCAGGAGGATCATGAGTTCAAAGCCAGTCTCAGCAATGGAGGGGTGCTTAGCAATTCAGTGAGATTCTGTCTCTAAATAAAATACAAAATAGGGCTGGGGATGTGGCTCAGTGATCAAGTGACCCTTAGTTCAGTACAAAAAAAAAAAAGAAGAATTAATCTTGTCAGCTTTATACATGTGCATCATAAATGTGATCACATGGAGGGCTGGGGATGTAGCTCAGCAATAGAAGACTTACCTAGTGTGCATGGACCCTGAATTTGATTCCCAGAACCACCACCAAAAAAAAAAAATATATATATATATGATCACCTGAAAAATTGTTGAAGGAAAAATAATAAAATAAAAAATTAAGTCAGAAAAAAAAATTGAGTCAAATAAAAGATTAAGGTTGTTTTGGATATGAAGGGAGATGAGCTTCCTATTTCCTAAAGCTAGTGTTTGGGTAATTATGGTGCCCTGCAATTTTCTAGAAAGCTACTATTTTCTTTCTTTTTAAAAATAATACTTGTTGTTTTTGTCTGTGAAAGTAATATATGTTACTTTGGAAAATATAGAGAAGTCTAAAGAGTAAAAAAATCTCATAACCAGTGATAGACACTGTTAACATCTTTGCTTATATCCATCCATCTAGACGGTTTTTCTCTGAAAATATGTTTTCCTTTTACAAAATTGGGGTAATGCTGCACTTACTGTTTGGTAACCTGCTTTTTCCCCTCAACAATTTATTGTGTCCATTTTCTCGTATTATTAAATTTTCCACTAGAACATGATGTTTTACAGCTGGCCTAGTGTTACATTACAGAGAAGAAATGGATTTAATTTAGCATCTAATGTTGACATATGTTTGGTAAAATAGTGCTACACTAAGCACCTTTCTATGTAAATATTTGTATACACTAATTATTTTCTTAGGATAAATCTATAGGATCAAAGGCAATATATTTTTAAGGCCTTTGATACCTGATGCTGAATTGATCTCTTGGAGAGAACTAGTTGACATGCCTTCTAATAGAGCATGGAATGTTCATTTCATATCCTAAGTAATACTGGCCATTATGGTTTTATTATTATATCTATTTATTTTTAATAGTAAATATGTTTGCATAGTTAGATTTTAAAAGTTCCGAGAATATACAGTGTAGTCTGCTTCTGCACCCTAGCCACCTCATTGCCCATCCCCATAAATTAACACTGTAACTATCATATTTCTCACACATATAAGTGAATAATCACAGTGGCAGGAGGATTGTTTGAGTCCAAGTGTTCAAGACCAGTCTGGGCAACATAGTGAGACGCTGTCTCTTAAAACAAAATTGATTTTTAATTAAATATAGGGTTAGGGTTAGGACAGGGCCCAGCAGCGCATGCCTGTAATCCCAGTGACTCAGGAGGCTGAGGCAAGAGGATTACAAGTTCAAGGCTAGCCTCAGCAACTTAACAAGGCCCTAAGCAACTTAGTGAGACCCTATCTCAAAATAAAAAATAAAAAGGGCTGAGGCCTTGTTTCAAAATGAAAAATAAAATAAAAAGGGTGGTGGTACACACCTATAATCTCAGAGACTTGGGAGGCCGAGGCAGGAGGATCTCAAGTTCAAAGCCAGCCTCAGCAATTTAGCAAGGCCTTAGGCAACTTAGGGAGACCCTGTCTCAAAATAAAAAGGTCTGGGGATGTGGCTCAGTTTTTGTACCTGGGTTCAATCTGTGGTACAAAAAACAAACAAACCACGGACAGAAGTACAGCTCAGTGGTAAAGCACATGACAAGCATGCACAATGCCCTTGGCTTGATCCCCAGCCCCACAAATAAATAAATAATATTCACTCCTACACTCCCAGTCTCATTTTACACAAATGATACCATTCTGTATAAACTGTTCGACACCATATGTTTTGTATTTAACAATAAGTTTGAAGATCATCCCACATCGGTAGGTAAAGAGCTTCTTCATTCTTTTTTAATGGCTACATGATAGTCCATTAAATGGATGTATCATAATTTATTTAACCAGTAGTCTGTAGATGAGTATGTATGTTGCTTCCTATCTTTTGCTATCAAACAATTCTATGATGAGAATTTTTTCATATATTTTGTTTTATACATGTCTGTAAGATAAACTATCATATTTATAGAATCATTTCCTAGAAGAAGAATTGCTGGGTCAATGGAGATTTTGTATGTATACATAAAATGTATAATAAAGTATTGATATATATTGCTAAATTGCCCTCCATAATCATCAGACCAGTCTGCAGTGCCACTAGCAACTCAATGAGAATGCCTATTATCCCATTCCTTTGCCAACTTAACGTGCTGTTTTATTTATTTATTTATTTTTCTTTGCCAAACTGATATGTGACAGATGATATCTCAGAATGATTTTAATTTGCATTTTGTTATGAATCAGGTTGAGCATGTTCTCATATGTTTTAGAGCCATTTGTATTTCCCAAAAGAACTGTCCATATCATTTGCATATTTTCCTATTGAAAGATTGGTTGTCATCTTATTGATCTGTAGAAACTCTTGATAAAGCAATTAATTCTTGGGCTGGGGCTGTAGCTCAGTGGCAGAGTGCTTGCCTAGCATGTATGAGGCACTGGGTTCAATCCTCAGCACCACATAAAAATTAACAAATAAAATAAAGGCATACTGGGGCTGGGGATGTGGCTCAAGCGGTGACGCACTTGTCTGCCATGCGCGGGGTGCTGGGTTCGATCCTCAGCACCACATAAAATAAAATAAAGATGTTGTGTCCACCAAAGACTGAAAAATAAATATTAAAAAATTCTCTCTCTTAAAAAAATAAAAATAAAAGGCATACTATCCATACACAACTACAAAAAACTAATTAAAAAGAAATTAACTCTTTGCCTGTAATATGACTTGTAAATTTTTTCCAGTCCAATGTTTGCTTTAAAATATAAAACATATATATATATATGTAATATATATTTTAGTTGTACACAATACCTTTTTTTTTTATATTTATTTTTATGTAGTGCTGGAGATCAAACCTAGTGCCTCACATGTGGTAAGCAAGTGCTCTATCACTGAGCTACAAGCCCAGCCTTAATGTTTGCTTTTTGATACTGCTTGGGGTTTTTTTGTTTGTTTGTTTGTTTTGTTTTTGTTTTTTGGTACCAAGGATTGAATGAAGGGGTGCTTAACCACTGAGTCACATCCCCAGCTCTTTTTTTTTTAGAGAGAAAGAGAATTTTTTTTCAATAATTATTTTTTTGTTATCGGCGGACACAACATCTTTGTTTGTATGTGGTGCTGAGGATCGAACCCAGGCCGCATGCATGCCAGGCAAGCACGCTACCGCTTGAGCCACATCCCCAGCCCCCCGCCCCCGCCAGCTCTTTTTTATATTTTATTTTGAGACAGGGTCTCGCTGAGTTGCTGAGGCTGGCTTTGAACTTTCAATCCTCCTGCCTCAGCCTCCCAAGGTGCTGGGATTACAGGCATGCACCACTGCACCTGGCTCCTTTTATTGTTTTTTTTTTTTTTCCTCTGAAGAATTTATCTTTATGTGGTCAAATTTATTAACCTTTTATGACTTCTGAGTTTAGACTGTTCTTATAATTTCCTCCAATGCTATTATAGTTGCATTTTTTTTTATGTTAGGAGTTTGATCCATTGGAAGGCAGGAGGTGGCAGAGTGAGAGGGTAATTCAGTGATAGGACACTTACTTAGCATGTGTGAGGCTCTGGGTTTAATCCCCAGCGCCCCCGCCACCAAAAAAGTTTAATCCATTTGTATTTCCTAGAGAAACACTTCTCATACATTGAGCTAACTTTACCTTTTCTCAGAGGCTACCTACTTGTCCCAATACTTTCATTGAATAATCCCCATCTTTTCTCTAATCATTTGAGACTCTACCTTTGAGGTTATTATTCTTGCCAATTTGATGAGAGGGAGAAAAGTAAGCCTTTTTTGCTTTCGTTTTCATGTGTTTGGCAATCCATATGTAAATTAGCTATTTGTTTTTCATATGTTAACTCTTTGTTTTTCTTATTTAGTGAATTTCTGTTTGCAACAATCACACTCTTTGTTTCTATTTGGTTGTTTGTTTATTTGGCGCTAGGGATCAAATCTAGAGCCATGCACAGGTGAGGAAAGTACTCCACCATTGAGCTGTAACCCAATCCCACCCACACCCTTTGTTAAATGCAGAATTTTGCTTGCAAATATTTTCCTCAGTTTTTTCATTTGCTTTTATTGTTGTTTTCAGTTGAAGCTGTGTCTGATGCTGCTCTCTTCAAAGTGTTGAATATTTATTTCTTCACTTGGTTTTCACAGCTTTGCTCTAAGGTAGTTAAAAATGAACTGAAGCAGCTGGAACACATAAAAACGTAGTGACTTTCCCAATTTCATTCAGTCTTTATTAGTAGAGCCCTTATTATCCAGAAAAAAAAAATGTCCTTAGATATGCTAGTTTCCATTTATGCCTTTAACAATTCATTGTTTTGCAGGGAATTTCACATTCAAAGCCTAACACTGAGGACATTTCACTGTGCTATGCTAATCGTTCTGCAGCCCTCTTCCACCTGGGTCAGTATGAAGTGAGTATCAGGATGCCAGGAGCCTCGTGCTTCACTGAAGATGGCCTCCTCTCGGCTTTTTCCTTATACATGAAATCCAGCTATGTTGCAACTCATTAATTGGGAGCACATTAATATCCAAACAAACTTGTCCTTTCTCCTGATTCATTTTACCTATCACACATGACCAGAAAATCTGTGGCACACTCCATAGGGCCATGGACTATAGCCAATAGCTCAGCTGTTCTTAGTGTCAAGCTCAGCTGTACAAAATACATTGCTAATAATACTTCAGGTTCCAAGTGGGTCCCAAGTATTTGCTTGTTCATTTGTTTGTTTTAGATAAGTAAGGAGTGTTTAAAATTATCCCTGCAATAATATAGCTCACCCTAAATAAGCAACAAGAAAATAAAGGTACCCTGAGTACCTGTGAGTGCCTATGAGGTGAGCTTTCTGTGAATGGCTTTCTTCTGATCCTTTAATTGTTGAGAATTGGGTCAGTGGAGTTTTTAAAACAGAAAGTGACCAAAATCAGATTTGTGCTTTAAAAGTCACCTCTGGGACCTCTGAAGTTTATAATAGAAAGTCCTAAGTACAAGCTCTAAAGTACCATTTGGTACATCCATTTCAGAATTCCACAGAAATTCTAGTTATACCCTACAGTTAACAACTACTAGAATAGTCACATGTTCACACTTACTGCCATTCAGACTAAAAGAGAAGAGCAAGAATCTAACTGTAGATCCTAAGCAAGAAAGTCCTGGACAAATGAGGACAGTTATTTTTTAAAAATATTTTTTTAGTTGTTGATGGACCTTTATCTTATTTATTTATATGTGGTGCTGAGAATTGAACCCAATGCCTCACACATGTTAGGCAAGTGCTCTACCACTGAGTCACAACCCCAGCCCAAGGACAGTTATTAATAGAACTTGAAAAACATTTAACTCTTTATAACTTTTCTATATTGACTGTTTCTGATTTTCTTTTTCTAATTACTGTTTATTGAGAACATACTATGTTCCAGGCCCTTCTTTCAGCACTTTGGACATATTACTTTATTTCCTCATTAAAACAATCTAGTGAGATATTATCCCTGTTTTTCAGATGAGAAAACTAAGGCATTAAGAAATTATGTTATCTGTGTAAGGTCATGTTTCTATCTGTGTCAGGTCATGCATAGTCAGTATTTGAACACAGGTTTGTTTGGTTCAAAATTGCCCTCTTAAATTCCCTATAATTCTGTAAGATATTTTCCCTCTTAGAAATAGAAACATTTAAGAGCCAGGTGTGGAGGTGTACACCTGTAATCTCAGCTTCTCCGGAGGCTGGGAGTGAGTAATAACAAATTCAAGACCAGCTTGAGTAATTTAGGAAAACCCTGTCTCAAAATAAAAAGGGCTGGAGATATGACTCAGTGATAGAATATCCCTGAATTCAATGCCCAGTACCACAAAGGATTAAAAAAAGAGCTCTTGGTTATAGTTGTTTCACTTTTTTATAATTCATAACTTTCCTGTAAATTTTTGGAAGGATTTTCAGTTCACATTGAAGAGTAGGGACCAAGGATATCTTGGGATTTTCTTTCTGTTTTCAGATGTGTCTTGAAGACATCATCAGAGCACAGACACATGGATATCCAGAAAGACTGCAACCTAAGATGAATTTGCGTAAGGCTGAATGCCTGGTGACTCTGGGGAAACTTCAGGAAGCAAGTCAAACAGTCAGTGATCTTGAAAGTGACTTTGCTGCCAAACAAACCCTAGCAGCTTCCTCCTTTCAAATTCTGCAGAAAAACCTTCATCGTCTAAAAAAGAAGGTACAAGAAAAGGAAAGTCTCCCAGAGACCTTCCCACCAACTCTAGCCAAAGCCTTTGAGGATATGGACCTAAAGGAAGAGAATGAACAAATTTCCAGTGCGTCGCCATCTGTCAGCTTATGCACAGACCCTTTAAAAGGCCGCTGTCTGATCGCCACAAAAGACATTCTCCCAGGAGAACTCCTGGTGAAGGAGGATGCTTTTGTGAGTGTCCTTAACCCAGGAGAAATGCCACATCACAGCCTAGAGAACAAGTGGGATACCAAAATTGCCATTGGGGACCTCTACTGTCACCGATGTCTGAAGCACACTTTGGCTACTGTTCCCTGTGATGGGTGCAGCTATGCCAAGTATTGCAGTCAAGAGTGTATGCAGCAGGCCTGGGAGTTCTACCACAGTGTAGAGTGTCCCCTGGGGGCGCTGCTTCTCACCCTGGGTGTCTTTTGCCACGTAGCCCTGAGGTTGACTCTTCTGACCAGATTTGAGGATGTTGGCAAAGTCACAAGTAAGCTGCGTGATGAAATTAGTAACAACATCTCTTTCCCTAAAAGCAAGAATCTGGTCAAGATGCTCAATTACGACCAGGAGGAAAATGACAAAGTAGTTAAGACCCCAATTCCTGGATGCGATATTAGTGGGAAGTATGAAAATAATTATAATGCTGTCTTCAACCTCTTGCCTCATACTGAAAACCATAGTCCAGAACACAAATTCCTTTGTGCTCTAAGTGTCTCTGCACTGTGCAAGGAACTCGAGGCAGCCAGCTCCCGGGCCCTTGCCACAGGTCTGAATTCCTCTAAGCTGAAAGCCACTGTGACTCCTGAGTTGTGTGCAGATTTGAATATTTGGGGCGTGGCCATGCTGCGACACATGTTACAGCTGCAGTGTAATGCTCAGGCCATAACCACCCTACAGCACACAGGTAAGGCGGGAATCTCTTTTTTGGCCTTACTGTTGTTTTTGTAGCTGATGTTTGGGCGGCGGGGGGGAGAACTATAAAGGAAAACAAACCTTCAAACAAATCAGTGACCTAGTGAGCAAACACAGCTGTCTTGTCTTATCATTATTATGCCATAGAGAAGCCATGTGACTGTAACAAATTATTTTATCCTACCGTGCTTCAGCCTTCCCATCTGTAAAATGCATAGTTCATCTAACCTAACTACAGAGTTGTGTATGTACACACACAAAAATCATTTAAAAAGTTAAAATGTGTGTTACTGAGATATTTTGATTTTAAAGGAAAACTCTCAAATAGTAATAACAAGTTTGTCAGAAGGATACACCCACAGAAAAAGCTAAATAGCAGGAAAGGCAAAAACAATAGTGAGGGGCTGGGGATGTGGCTCAAGCGGTAGCGCGCTTGCCTGGCATGCGTGCGGCCCGGGTTCGATCCTCAGCACCACATACAGACAAAGATGTTGTGTCCGCCAAATACTAAAAAATAAATATTAAAATTCTCTCTCTCTCTCTCTCTCTCTCCCTCTCTCTCACTCTTTCTTAAAAAAAAAAAAAAAAAAACAATAGTGAAACGAGACTGCATAAGGATAGGGTCTGACCAGGAGCAGTGGAGAATGCCTATAATCCTTGTGACTCAGGAGGCTGAGGCAGGAGGATTGCAAATTTGAGGCTAGTCTCAGCAATTTATTAATGACCCTAAGCAACTTAGCAAGACACTGTCTCAAGATAAAAAAGACTGGGGAATGTAGGCTCAGTGGTAAAGTACCCTGGGTTAAATCCTCAGTACCAAAACAAAACAATAAAAACAGAGAATCCTTCCCAGCACAGCTTTTCACACTAGACTACACCATGAACTATTGGCCACCCTACAAATGGCCTGTCTATGGTCAGGTGGTCAGCCATCCAAGGACTACCTCTAGACACTGACCAGCCAGCCTAGCACTGCTTATCTGAACTAGGTTCTATAGCCAAAGATTTGTAAGCTAGATAAGGAGGTTGAATGTGCCCATAATCGTGAGTGAATCTCAAGTATGACTGTATTGACAACAGATCACAATTAATAGAAAGTAAATGACATTTGTAATATTTCTATTGTATTATTTCCATAGCAGAAAATGTGTTTTAATTCTATCAGTTTATCACTTAACTTTTCCAGTTAATTCATTGAAAGGGAAGAAATTAGATGTTAGCTAAACCTAAGATTTATAAACAGATTAATAGTCAAGGTAGTTTAACTAAACCATATATATTTAGCTCTTCTGATTTTTCATACTAGGTAATTTAGAATTTATCAGCATTTTAGTATGTATTTTATGTTTAATTTTAATTTAGTTACCAAGTTATATGGTATATAGATACCCACTAGAAATGTTTTGGGACCTGATACTCTTTCCTATCCAGAAGCACATGGAACATCCAAAACTAGCACTAGCCTGGTGCCATTGTATTACTGAAGGCACTTCAAAAGAGTCTGTTTTCTGCTTTGCCTTCTTTTGCTTCAATAGAATCAAAATAAAATAAAATGGACTGGGGCTGGGGTTGTGACTCAGTGTAGAGCGCTTGCCTAGCATGTATTCTATTGTCAGCACCACATATAAATAAATAAAGGTCCATCAATAGCTAATAAAAATATTTAAAAAATAAAATTGACTGGGGATGAAGCTCTGTAGTAGAGTGCTTGCCTAGCATGCATGAGGCCATGGATTATCCCCAGTACCAGGGGGGGAAAATATGGATTGTATACCTTTCCTATCATTTTATGTGCAGATTTGAATACTTGGGGCGTGGCCATTTTAGAGGGAAATTTTTTTTTTTTAACCTCACAGTGGGGCTGGGGTTGTGGCTCAATGGTAGAGTACTCACCTAACATGCTTGAGGCACCTCATAAATGTAAAATAAAGATATTGTGTCCGCTTAAAAGTAAAAAATAAATATTTTTTTAAAAATTAAAAATAAAAACCTCACAGAGCAAAAGATAATAAAAATGAGTTTATAATAGTAAATATAAACTGGCTAAACACCTATTAAAGGAGTCTTTTCAGGATAGATTAAAAAATTAAAATTCAACTATATTCTGTTTCCAAAAGTGACTCCTATAGCAAAATGACAGGGTGTTTGGACAAGACATATAAGGAATCACAAGTAAATCATGGCATTGGTATTATTACAAAATAATAGAACTCAAGGTAAGATACACAGTAAAACAAAGAAAGCATTTTATTTTTATAAAAGAGGCTCTCCACACTGAAATATATCATCAGCCTTAGCTCTCAGAAACATATCTATAAAACAAAAATGGTTAGGTATACAAGGAGAAGATTGTTTCCATTGTTGTGAAAAAATTTAATGTACCACTCTGACTTTGACTGATCAAATATATTAAGGATCTAGAAACCAAGATAAAAATAATAAGCTAGGGGATTTAGTAGATATCTATCTATCTTTCTAAGCTTGTATCTCATGGATCAGAAGTCACAAACTTTCTATAAACGGCCAGATAGTAAACATTTTAGGTTTTAGTGGCAGTATGGTCTCTGTTGCAGCTTTTCACCTCACAAACAGCCATGAACAAAACGCAAATGAATGAGAAATTTGAATTTTTGAAATTTTTCACATTATAGAAGAATCGTTCTTTTGTATTTCTTTTTCCAACCACTTAAAAATGTAAAATCCAGGGCTGGGGTTGTGGCTCAGTGGTAGAGTGCTCACCTAGCATGTACAAGGCCCTGGGTTCTATCCTCAGCACCACATAAAAATAAATAAACAAAATAAAGGTATTTTGTCCAACTACAACTAAAAAATAAATGCTTAAAAAAAAAAAAAATGTAAAAACCAGCCAGGCATGGTGGCACACATCTGTAATCCCAGCAGCTCGGGAGGTTGAGACAGGAAGATCAGAAGTTCAAAGCCAGCCCCAGCAAAATCGAGGTGCTAAGCAACTCAGTGAGACCCTGTCTCTAAAATACAAAATAGGGCTGGAGACATGGCTCAGTGGTTGAGTGCCCCTGAGTTCAATCCCTGGTACCCAAAGATAAAAAAATGTAAAAGCCATTCTTAGACCAAAGATTTCAGTTTATAGATTCTTGATATGGACAAAGGTCTGGCAAATCCAATTAAGAAATCTGTTTGGGGGAGGGAAGGCCACAAAATTTGAACAATAAAGGAGATATTTTATAAATTCAAATGTGAAAAACTTTGATGCCAGGTACAGTTACACATGCCTGTAGACTAAAGCCACTCAGGAGGCTGATGCAGGAGGATTGCTTGAGCCCAAGAGTTTCAGGCTAGCTTGGGCAATATAGTAAGACCCTATCTTGGGCTGGGGTTGTAGCTCAGTGGTAGAGCGCTGGCCTAGCACATGTGAGGCCCTGGGTTCAATCCTTAGCACCACATAAAGAAATAAATAAGTAAAATAAAGGTATTGTGTTCAACTACAACTAAAAAATAAATATTAAAAAAAGACCCTATCTCCTTAAAAAATAAGTTAAAGTAAATAAATAACAGAATTTTAGGCTATTCATTTTGTAAATATTAAGTAGACAGCTTGCTTTTTTTGTTTTGTTTTAAGACAGGGTCTTGCTAAGTTGTGAGGGGCTTGCTAAATTGTTGAGGCTAGCCTTGACCTTGCAATCCTCCTGCCTCAGCCTCAAGAATCCCTGTAATTATAGCATGCACCACCAAGTGTGGCACCAAAAAAAAAAAAAAAAAATTTTTTAAGGAACATACTTAACTATAATTTTTTCTTTCAATAAATTTTTATTGTGCATAAAAATTAGACCATAATTTTGAAAAAAGTTATCTTAAGAACAGATTGTTTCTGTGGTATATAAACTGTTCCAGAGAATGGGGAAACCTAGCCCTCTTTCACTTGTGAATATAGCTGTTAAGACCATGAATAGGGGGCTGGGGTTTGGCACAGTGGTAGAGTGCTTGCCTCCCATGTGTGAGGCACTGGGTTTGATCCTCAGCACCACATAAAAAAATAAATAAAATAAAGTGATTGTCCACACAATGAGTGGCAAATATCTTAAAAAAAAAACATGAATAAATCACTCCCATATCACATCCTGCAGTTGATTAAAGGAATAATAATAACTGACCATGTAAGGTTTCTCCCAAAAGTGTGAAGGGATCTAAAAGGATTGGATAAACAGACATGCCATCTTCTTATTGAAAAGACTGTAAAGGTGGCAGTTTCCCTGCATTAACCTAATCATCTTAATGCAGTTTCAAACAGAATCAAAATTGGGCTTTTCTTGGAACTTGACAGCATTCTAAAGTTCTTCATGAATGAGTGAGCAATACTATAGGTGGCTGTTTTTATTTGAACACTGAAGGGTCTTGATAATATCAGATTGTATGCCAGCATTAAAGCTACAGTAATTGAAAGCAATATGGAACAGATGGTAGCCCCCAAATAAGTATTAGATTCTTCAAATCATCAAAAAGTTAAATATTTAGACATGGTGCAGTGGCACACTCCTGTAATCCAGCAACTCAGGAAGGTGAGACAGGAGGACTATAAGTTCAAGGCTAGCCTCAGCAACTTAGCAAGGCCCTAAGCAATTTAGTGACCCTATCTCAAAATAAAAAATAAAAAGAGGGGCTGCGGTTGTGGCTCAGTGGTAGAGCTCTTGCCTAGTAAGGGAGGCACTGGGTTCAATCCTCAGCATTACATAAAAAAATAAATAAATAAAATAAAGGTATTGTGTCCATCTACAACTAAAAAATAAGTGTTTTTTTTTTTAAATGAGGCTCTGAGTGTGTATCTCTCAAATCACCATGATGGTTTGATCCTAGAGTGGGGGTGGGGGATATCATAAAGGGTGAAGAAGATAAAGGATAACCTGGTGTGGTGGTGCAGGCATGTAATCTCTGCTACTTGGGAGGCTAAAGCAGGAGAATTGGGAGTATTAAGCCAACCTGGACAACAGAGAGAGAGAGAGAGCCTATCTATTAATT